GCTTTATTGCACTTGTGAGGTCGCCTAGCAGATAAATAATAAATATCCTCATGCCTGCAAAAAAGAGTACCGTAACTCAAATTAAAACTACAAGTATCAAGACTGCTGACATCTATAGAAATGTATTTGTACTAATTTCTCTCGGTTGCATGTCTACCAAAACGAATATTTCTAGATAACTTTAACATATTGTAAGTGGTACAGATTATGCCATCTATTCAAAAGACAGTGAACGTATCAGGCTGTTTGCTTTGGCTTAAAGTTAATTCTCCATTCGCCATCTATTTTAAGGTTGCCAAACTGAGAAGTACTTAAGTAGTACTGTCCGTGATATTTTTTAAAGATTTCTTGTCCATTCAGTTCAGTTTCCGATAGTCTAGATGTTTCTCTCACTGATTGATTTAAAAAATACAATTACAGCTTCAGTGGCTTTGTTTGTGTGAGATTTGTATAATTTGCAATGGAAAGGCATCAGGGTAAGTCAGGCATTCAAGGTTTTTATACTGTTGAAGTAGAATCTACTCTAAGAATTTATTTTATAGAGCTGTTTTCACGTCAAATACTTTCACTGCCATCATATTCCAAGATTATCTAAATTTTTTTAGATTTTCATTGATATCAATATGTCTGACAAACCATATGGTGACCTCTTCATTTTCAATATTAGCCTGTTTTGAAAGGCTGCATCATCTTTTTGTACAATTTTGGATCATAGTTGCAGTATAGAGATCTCATTTGGGTCTTTAGATCTGTTATTTGATTATATAATAACGAAATTACATTGGTGCTGAAACCCGTCGTCGCGCTGCTGCTAAGGCCCGATCGCGAAAATTCAGGAATTCGTTCTATTGAGATTTTAATGACCAAAGATTTGGGAGATTTCTCGATTGAATGGTTCAGTTGCTCCAACTATTGAATATCCATGTGATGTCATAGAGACATTCTACGGCAAGTTCAAAGTAACCTTAGAGCTTTCAAATAAGTGTTTGTGGGGGATTTCAACGCAAAACTTGGAAATGCTTAAAGAGAAGACATCGTGCGTGGAGATCGTGTTTTTATAATTATACTTCTATACACCTGGATCTTTAACGCTAACGCTGGAGAGCTTGATGCAGAATTTTTGCAGCTGTATCATGTCTATCTGAGTACAAAGTACCAGCAATGACAGAGCAGCCATTTGTTATGTGTTGCATTGTCTCAGGTAGGTACCAGTTTACACTTTCGGCGTTTATCGTTGTGTATTGTTGAGTCCTTTATTATATATTTCTTATAGTTGAGTCTGTTTATGATCTGGTCCTGAATTGCGAGTGTGAATCCTTCAACAAACAACTTTCCTTCAACAAGCCAGGTATATGAATCTACTTTGCTGATGTGTTTTTGATTCACTTGATAATAGTGCCTTCCATGTAGTTCTCTCGATGCACATGCTTCTTTCAGTTTAAATAGCATATTCGTGTCTTCAACTAATACTTTTGAGTTGTTTAAATTAACTGGTGTTAGTTTTTCGTCTGCTTGGCAGATGGCCTGGTGTAAGGAGGTCGTTTTTGAGTGAAAGAAGTTTATTAGGTTCATCATTTGATGGTGGTGTAGTTCAGTTATGTTTATTACTCCTCTTCCACCTTGCTTTCTGGGTATGTTAATACGCTCCTTGCATGCATGTTCATGATGGACTCTATCATTTATAAGCTGGGGTCGAATAGTACGGTTGAGATGTTCCAGTTCCGTGTTGGACCATTTAAATATCCCAAAAGAGTATGTCAAAACTGGACTAGCATAGGCGTTAATAGCTTTTATTAGGTTTCTTGCATTTAATTTGGTTTTTGCAAGATTTGAAATTATTATTATTATTATTATTATTAATATTATTTTTTGTTTTTTTTTTTTTGGGTTTGCCTCACTTACGGTCCCGCGGCTCCGACCACTTACTTACATGGGTGCCAGTAGGCCTGGTGTTCCGTCCACCGTTCTACTTCCCACCAACCGCAAGGTTAGTAGAAACGGTGTTCCACATCGTGTGCTCTGAGTAGATGCAATGATCCCAGGATCACTGCTTTCTGCATCGTGCCAGCAAGGTGTTCTGCTTTATCAAGGCAGACTGGCAAGGTTGTAAGAGCTGAGAGCAGTGTTTGTCGTGCACCTCCGAGAGCCCCAATCACCAAAACGACTAGCTTGACGGTATAGCCCCGGTACATTCGGCGAAGGTCAAAGAGAAGATCCTGATATTTCGTCCGTTTCTCTTCCTTATTCGGGGCTGAGTGGCCAACGAGTCTACTCACGTGCCAGGATTCGGCGGAACATACCGCAGACCGACAGAATTATGGCTTTTTGAAAGAGCCTGACGATGGAGAGGGTGTTTTTCAGACCCAGTTTTTGCAGATCAGATTCTAGATCCTTGTCCACCAAGCCGTTTGTCGTTACAATAACGGAAATCACTTGAATGCTTTTAAGGTTGTAAATTTTCCGTAGTTCAGCGCACAATGGTTGGTATTTTTCAATTTTCTCGGTATTGGCCTTTCGAATGTTTTCGTCCAACGGTATAGTAATGTCGATAACCCAAGCGTGGTCATTTTCTTTCAGAACTAGAATGTCTGGTCTGTTGTGTTTTACGTTTTTGTCTTTTGTTATTGCCCTGTCCCAGTAGATTTTGGTGTCGTTATTTTGTAGTACTGCTGGTGGGTTGTATATGTAATACGGAGTCTTTTTTTTTACTTATGTTCAAATGTATAGCAATTTCTTGGTGTAGAATTCCTGTTACCAAGTTGTGACGGTTAGTGTAGTCTTTTGGAGCTAAGTAACTACATGCTCCGCGAGGTGTTGAACGCTATTTTTGTGACAAAGTCTACGTAGGTCGCCCCCTATATATATAGGGCGCGTTTGAGAATATGCTTTCTGTAATTTTTTGAACAGATTACCTGGTCTTGTATGGCTTGTATGAAGCCTTCCGTTTCTGGCATCAGAAATCCATGACTCAGGTAGGTTGTGGATAGTTTGAGGTCAACCTCTACGCTTTTTAGAGCAGCGGCGTATCTACCGTGTAGGGTTCTAATTTGCCATTCTAATTCGAGCGTTCTTATGTTTTTATCTGCTTTAGGTGCAGCGTTCGAAGCAAGATTCAGAGGCGAGAGATGGGAATCAGCACTGCAGATTGCAAGGTGGAACAGATCTTCTTTGCGTTGGATGTAAGTATAGAGGTTTTTTATTTGGTTTTCGTGTGAAAGTTCTAAATTTATTAGTCCTCTACCTCCTTTTTTCCTTCCCAGATACAACCTGTTCATGGATGCGTTGGGATGATGACCTCTATATTGGGCGAGGCTTACTCGGATTGCTCGATCGATTCTCTGTAAATCCGTGTTAGACCATTTGAGTACCCCAAAAGTGTGGGTTATTACCGGGAGCGCCCAGCCGTTAAGGGCGGCTACTTGGGACCCAGCATACAGGTGAGTCTTTAGAATGGTTTTTACTCTAGTAATCAAATTTTTTTCCACCATCACTTTCATGTCTGATTGTTCCGTTTTTATGTCGTCACTGAAGGCCGCTACAAGCTCTAGGAGGTTTTGGAGCTGTTCTTTGTTACTTGCATAGCTTCAGGTCGTCCATATAAAGCAGGTGCTCTAGTTTGTACTTTCCGTTGCGTGTTATCATGTAACCATAGTTGCTTCTTTCCAACATAGAGCTTAATGGGTTAATTGCCAAACAGAAAAGTATCGGACTCAGGCTCAGGCACCCTGGAATATGCCGCTTCTTATATTAATTGGTTCTGACTGATATTTTGTATTGTTTACTTGTACATTGAGTGTAGTTTTCCATTTGTTCATCAAGTATTTAATAAGGTTTACTGAGACTTTGTCTATTTTATAGATGCTCATTACTTCATTTATCCAGGAGTGTGGCACTGAGTCGAAAGCCTTTTTGTAATCAATCCATGCCATCGATAGATTTCTGCGTTTTTGTATAGCCTGGTTACTAATAATTGTGTAAACAATAAGCCATTCCGAGGAGCCCTTTCCACCCTTTCTACATTCATTCTGCTGGTGTTCATGATTTCATTGGTTCTACAGTGATGAGTGATTTTTTGTTCGAGAATCGAGGTAAGTATTTTGTAGACGACCGGTAAGCAGGTAATGGGTCTGTCATTTTTCGGCATGAGTGTCTCGTTGTTTTTCCGTAACATGAACGTAGCTCCCGTTGTAAAGAATTCTGGGATCGACTCTGGGCTGGACCAAGTATTAGCAAACTGACGTGCCAGATATTTGTGTGTACTCATGAAGTTTTTCCACCAATATGCTTGAATTTTGTCCAGTCCCGGGGCTTTCCAGTTGTGCGATTTTTGGACTGCTTAACGGACATCTTCAGTTGTTATGTTTACTGGGGTCATTTCTGGCAGTTGGGTATGTATTTCTTTTTCCTGTTGGATCCAGTAGGCTTCTTGATTATGCTGTTTTTCTCTGGACCATATGTTGGACCAAAATTCCATAATTTCAGGCTCAGAGGGAGGTTGGCACTCTTTAAGAATGCTGTTCTGCTCCAGGTGTCTGTAGAATTTGCGAGGGCTTTTCTGAAAAGTTTTGTTTTCACAGAATCTTTTTGTCCTTTCTGTATATCGTCTGATTCGGTATCCCAGTGCAGCAACTTTTTATTTGAGTGTGTCCATGTATAATGTAAGTTCTTCCGTTCCCGTTTGGCTGTGGAGTTTTATGCGCTGGCTCTTTGCAATTTTTCTGACTCTTTTCTTAAGTTTATCTCCAGACTCACCATAGATGTAAGTATGTATCTGCCCTAAATGTTTTTTTAGTTTTGCTATTTTTTCCCCAAGCCGCTTTTTCCATGGGGGCAAGTTTGTTGGTTTTGTACGGCTCTTGTGCTTGTTGTTTTTTGTTTGGAATAAGCCGAGGGTCTGGGATACTGTCAATGCTCCGCAGTAGACTTTCTGGCAGATGTCCTCCAGTTGGTCTTCCGGTTCAATCACTTTCGCCAAGATGGCGTTGACTTGTTCCACTAACGTTTTGGTGTATTTGCTGTATGCCACTCGGGGTATAGCCGTTCGGACATTCATTGGAAGGCCACGATATTCTGCGATTAATAGTTGGAGTTCATTTTCAGTATCTTCGTTCGTCATTTGCGCTGCCATCGTTGAGCGTCGTGGTAGCATTCTAACATTTGCTACTGGTTCATTTTGGTGTGCTTGTGTTGGCGTTCGTCTAACGTTTTGCGCAGAGGGGCGTCTTCCATTGCCTCGGTCATTTTGTAATTCAGCTGACACTTCCTGCTTCAAGGCTTCAAGTTCAGCCTCTGATAGAGCTTTACGTCTCAGTATAGCACGTACTTGGCCGGACAGCTGTTGTGGTGTTCTCTCAAAATCCGGTCTGGTGTCTTGCCATATATCATGTAGTCTTGTTCGGTAATCAATTCGGTTCTTGCCGAGTTCCGTAGCCGTAGCCCTGTGGTAAGCGCATATCAAGTGGCGGTTGTCCGCTCTTGTCCATTTTGCGCGCCTGCCTACCTCGATTCTCCTAGCGGGTCGCTCTTCTCGAGCTTCCAAGCTCGGAGATCTCTCTGGTCTACGTCCAGTGGCATTGCGTGGCCTTGCAGTTCCATTTCGGAGAGACGCGCTGCTTGCTCCGACGTCCTCTCCTAAGGGCCGATCTTCCTGACGGCTCCGAGGGGGGTCAGCCCGTAGCCCCTCACCGCCCTGAGCTTGACTTCGTGTCCTAGGAGCTTTTTTATCACAATGCGAAGGGTTGCTAGCCCTTTGCACCGGGTGCTGGGGTCTGCGGGGTTGCGTCCCGTGGCTTTACAGCCCCCCATGCAGGCGAAGCTGGCCGTTCGGGTCTTGCGTCGTTACCCGTAGCGAGGAGAACTTAGCTGGCTACAAAGCCCACCTCGGCCAGACATTTTTATTATTATTATTATTATTATTATTATTATTATTATTATTATTATTATTATTATTTTTCTTTATCTTTTTTTTTTTATTGCTCTGTTTTCACAGGTAAAGTTGAACCAAGATTGTCGGCTCTCTACAGCTCAAGAAAGAAAGGTCCGAACGATATGAGCTGCATCTAGGATCACTGCCTTCTGAATTTGGCGGTAGGTATTCACAGGTAAGTCTATCTTTTTTGGAACTACACCCGTGCTAGTTAATATGATCGGTATTATTTCGACCCTATTTATATTGTCCTTTTTTTTATATTCTCGTTTTAACTCTCTATACTTCTCAATTTTTTCATTTGTTTTCAGGTCTAGGTTGTTGGTGTTTGAAATGACGATATCTATAAAGTAGGTAGTTTTTATTTTTTTGTAGATGAGCACGATATCGGGCCTGTTGTGTCTCACTTCAATGTCCGTAATGATTGTTTTATCCCAGAGTAGTTTTATGTTCTCATTTTCCATTACCGGCGGTGGTTGGTATTTGTAGTATGCGCTTGGATTTTCAATGGGTAAAGAGTGTTTTTTCGCAATTTCCTGGTATATATTTGCAGCTGCTTTGTTGTGTCGCTCAATTATTGCCAGCTAGTTTTGTGCATCCTGAGAGAATTTGTTCGATTGTCTCTTGCTGTTGGTTGCATTTGCGACATTTGTCATGCGCGCTATTTTCTTTTAAAATGTGTTTTGCGTAGCTTCTTGTTTTGATCACTTTGTCCTGTATCGCAATCCTTCAGTTTCTGGCATAAGATAACCAGCTTTCAACCATTCCAATGATGCCTGCTTGTCCACGTTATCTCGGTTGAGATCTCTGTGGCCATGAAGCTCTTTCTCAGCTCATCTATTAATCTTGTCGTCATCACTTTGGCTTTTAATGGTTGATTCTTCTGGGTTGCTCAGATTCAGTGAAGTACACTTCTCATCGGCGATTCTCATGCTGTGAAACAAGGTTCCGTTTCTGTGCTGGAAGTACCTACGTAGACTTTGGATTTGAGCACTACAAGCTGACGTCAGATCCTTTAGCCCTCTTCCCCCTTGGTTTCTTGGCAGAGTTACGCGCTCCATGGATGATCTTGGGTGGTGCATTCTAAATTTATTCATTCGAGTGCGTATAAGCCTGTTAATGTTGTCTAGTTCCGTTGTAGTCCACTTGATGACACCAAAAGAATATTCGAGGATTGGAATGGCATAGCAGTTAATTGCTTTAGTAAGATTTAAGGAGTTTAGCTTTGTTTTAAGCAGGGAATGCTGTCTCCCCTCAAATTTTCTGGTTAGGTTTTCTTTGATCTGTGTATGCTCCATTCTGTTGGTTTGCAGCATCCCAAGGTATTTATAAGGCGTATCTTCCATTGAAGATATTTCAGTGCTCTCATCCAGCTGCATAGGATTTTTCTGACTGAGTTTACCTTTGATGACCGACACAACCTGGCATTCATCCACTCCATAAGTCATGGATATATCGCTACTGATCTTGTGTACTAGCTTCAACACCGATTCAATATGGGGTTTGATGGAGGCATACTATTTGAGGTCATCCATGTACAAAAGATTATTGACAAGTTGGTGTCGCCCATCTGCTTTTAGTTTGAACGCATAGTTGGTTGTGTTGAGGGTTCTGGAAATTGGGCTTAGAGTCAGAAAAAACCATAAGGCGCTGAAAGAGTCTGCCTGGAATATTCCTCTATTGATGTTGATTTTTGATGTTTCTATCTGGTGTTCTTCAGTCTTGATACTCAGAGTTGTATTCCAGTTTTGACGAGAATCAAAATACCTTTAAAACAAGGTACCACTCGACCCATCTTCCCTATCTAAAAAAGAGGGGTGAAAGTCACCCCACCCAGGAGATACACCCTAGCGATGGGGTGAAAAAGTTTCCCCCTTGAATACAAAGTTGACGTGTCCGAGCGTTTTTTTTTTTAAATCGACCTCAAAATACCCCAAAACGCCTCCGTTTTAATATTCGTGAAACACCCTGTACAGTTAACCTTATTCTCCGAACAGAATTTCTCACTATACATTCTTTCAGAAGCAGACTTTATTATGAAAAATATGAAAATTAACTCAAAAAAATACATATGGTTTTTGGTGGAAATTTCGATTCGTTTCAACAAAAACAATAAACTAAAATTCACTTTTCGATTTTTTTTGAAGCTCAACCAGCTCAAAAAAATAAAATGATTCAAGTTCAATAAATTTACATGAGAAAGTTAACAAAGCACCATAAAAAAATATCTATAATTAGCAATAAGTAGTTACATACTTACACATCATAAATAAGAAAAATTATTAGAAATCTAATAATACCAAAAATTCAACGAAAAAATCGTGATTAATAAAAGCGATTGTTGAATAACTCAAAAAACGTTTTTCTTGTTATTGAGACAGATTGAAACAAGTTAAAGAGCAAAATTTTGAAGTTTCCTGGATTTTTTAAAATTCGGTAGTTATACGGACATAAAATTGAGGAAGAAACCATTTTTCAATTAGTCAGGTAAATGTGTGTGATAAAATTTAAAAAAAAAAATAATGTCTTTTGCAACTTATTGAGAATTTCAAATTTCACAATTTTTTTTTTGGATTTTTCCGTTATTTTTGCAGCAGAGACAAATTCCAAACTCAAACGTTCAGCAAACACTATTTATTTAAAAAAAATTCAAATGTTATAGATTTGAACTTTTATTTTTCGATTCAATTTCTTATCGATATGCACAGTTATGGACATTAGATGTAAAAGTACTCAGTCCGTACAAAAAATATATCTACCGCGCCTTTTTAGTCAACATGTTTCTGTTATAAATTGTTAGTGAAATACCTATGGCAGTTTTTCAATAACTCGACCTTCGTAATTTTTAAAAGTATTTAATTATTGATGACACATTAAAGTAAGCGAAATAGATAAACCTTATCTCACCATTATTTATCCTGCAAGGCGCGTATTATAGGTATTTATAAGGTCTACCTCGTTAAACGTTTTACTCTACCCATTATTAGAAGATTTACAAAAGTAAAGAAAATAATGCCTCACAACGGACCACCACATCATCATGGAGGCCCACCACCACACCACGGAGGACCTCATCATCACGGAGGCCCACCACCACCACCACCACATCACGGAGGACCCCATCATCATCATGGAGGCCCACCCCCTGAACAATGTTGCTGCATTTGTACGATTTTATAAAAAAAAAAAACATGTATGTAGAGTTTAGATATAGATAGATTATACAACAAAAATATTCCGACCATCAAATATATAGATAATGCCATTTTTAGAATCTTCCAAAATCCAAATTTGAATTGTTTTTCAATTACCTATAGTGATTTCCAGATTAAAAATTTAACTTGCTAACAAAATTCAGGAAAAATAGTAGTGTGCCAACTTGTTCAATTTTTTTTCGAAAAAGATGCCAGCTTTTTTAAAATATAAAAATCTTGAGTAGGTAAAAAAAGTTACCTATTGCAGATAAAGTGAAAAATTCAGCTCGGCTTGTGTTTAACATTTTAGGCTTGAGACTTGAAGAACCAAAATTATAATTAAAAGTTCTCTGTCCATTTGTTCATGAGATACGTTGTCGAAAAATCAGTGAGAAAACTTTATACACTACTTGTGGCCCGAAATAAAGGAGTAAATTTTTTAATTCAATTTTTCTTGTTTGTTTCTAGTTCAATTTATTTTCTTTTCAAAGGAATAATAACCCAACACATCCTCAATAAGACGGCAAGATTAGAATAGATAAGGAATAGATTTACAGTACCGGACTTATAAAAAATAATCTTTATTAACAGTGTGTTTGAAGCTCATTGCAAATGAAATTTGTTTTAGCTAAACTTAAACTGATATGCCCGTTTGGTAGATGAACTATCCAGAAAGCTTCAGTAAAAACAAAATTATCCGAATTTCTTGGATTATTTCCACACACTTACGTGGTAACACTGTTATTTGAATTAAAAGATGCTCTAACCTAACAGGATTTATGTCTCAAATTGTACTTCAGCGGACTATTATTTTTGGGTGGCCTTGAATATAAATTTTTTTCATCTGAAAATCATACTTTTCTAATATCTTCACGAACTTCTATGATTTCCAGATCGGAATGATGCTAGCTTCTTTCTTCTATTTGTTAGCGTAAGTTTCTTCATTACAATGTTATGAACCGTTTGTTTTGTTTCAATTCTCTCCTTTGCTGTAGGGCGACTAGTTTACTAGGAATTTCATACAAACAAGTGGTGCTAGCCTTGGGTTCACCCTTTCTGAGGAAAGAACCCAGTGGGCTGCGCCGGACTGTTGCTGCATACATAGATGTTTATATCCGAGTTACATCTCCTAAGCACACACCAAAATAATAGCGGAGATCTCAATCTGGTATACCGTTGAGTATCGACCCAGTGCAAGACTAACTCTCACCTCAGGTCGCTCCCCATATATACCAGTCCCTGCGCCTTTTTCCATTAGAGATCCGTCCGTGTACCTATGAGCTCCTCTATCAAGCATATTAACCTCATATTTCCTATGGGGGGCTGACGCCTTTGGCATTCCATCCCTCTTATGGAGGAGAGAGTCCCGTCTGATAATATCAATCCAGGTCTTTGCATACCCCAAGACTGATTGAAGCCTCTCAAGCACGTGCCTTCGCGAAAACATGTAGAGGCGTTAGGCTCCAGCGTTGGGGTGGTTCTCAAAGTTCCAATTATTGACATACAGGCAAGATATTCGAGCGTATCCAGCTTTGTTCTGTGGCTGGAGTTGCTTAGTCTGTTTCACCAGACTAAGCTGAGCTGCCGTTGGCCTTATCAGTGCAGTGTAAAGCCAGTTGACTATATTGAGTTGTAAGCCCTAGATGCGTCCAGTAGACCTTCTGCAGGCCCTTAGGCTGGACGACTCTTCGACGTGATCTTTCCAGGTCAGTCTAGAGTTAATGTTGACTTCTAGATGAGCAATCCAGAAGGTGCAAGTCTCGATCCAAAGAGTGTGAGCCTATCCAGGCCCTGGTTTTTTCGATGGGTGAATGGTAAAACGGTTTTGTCCAGATTTACCGATTGTTGCACCACCTTTGGACCACATAAAGAGCTGTTTGCATGATACCCAAATGGTGCTGGGTACCCTTCCAGCCATGGCGATGAAGAGATGGTCCGCATAGAGTTGGGTACACATACACGCCTCGTTCAGAGTGAGGAATAGCCCATCCAGTACTAGGCACTAACAGCAAAGGCGATAGAAGGAGTGAGCTCTTGAGTCTGCAATAATTTTAGCCCCAATATGGTTTTCCTGGTGACCTCTACAATGGGGAAGGTGACTTTCAACGGGCTGGCATTTTGCCAGAATTTATCAAAAAAAACTATTTGCTCAGAATCCGAACTCACACTGCATCAACTCCGTCTCACTTGGACTTTGAATAAAGGCTGGTTGGATGTAAGATTTAAATGAAATTTTCTTGTTGAGTTTGTTTGGATCGATAATATCAACTCCTTGGTGAATTCCAGATTACCTTAAACGTCAAACTACGGGCTTTTAGTGCATGAAGTGCATTCCACATATCACAGATAGAAACAAGCGATACAAACGGTTAATTATGTATTTATAATTAATCGTATGTCGTAGTCGACGTAGTTTTTCAAAATCAAGTTTTTCTTTGGGGTTACACTATTTTTAATAGCTTTTCTAGGTCTGAAGTGAATTCTGATTACGAACGACACTAAAAGTTAACTCAGCTCTTTAAATGGAAATTATTATCAGCGGACGTTAACTTATCTCTTGATAATTACTATAGAAACAACAATATTGTGGCGCCTTCGCCATACAGTACAGAATTTAACTTGAAATCTAGAAAATACTGCTTTATTCGGGCAAAGAGATTATCGCGTTTATTCTGGACTTTACAAGATTGACTATTATATGATGCAGATAGTGATTATTGTTGAGAGTTGTAAAGAGTTTAGTTATTTGAGTTATTTAGTGAAGTAATTAGTGTCAGAGTGTGAAATAACGTGGAATAAATTATTGTGTTAATTGGACTAGGATTTTTGGAATACACAGACCCAAGATTTCTGTCACGCACCCCAGAGCCGTGACATTGGTGTGCAAACACCAACGGATGGAACGATCAAGAAAAAGCTACAGCACTGATAGTGGCGCTACGAGGACTTGCCTTAGATATTCTTCAGTCCATTCCTACAATCTACCACCAGAATTACCAGCATCTAAATCAGACGTTCGAATTGCGTGACCATAATAGACAAGAAGTGTTTAGAACTCAAGTTAAATCAAGAATTCAAAAACCCGGCGAGAGCTTACAAAAATTCGAATCGGAAGTTAAAAGGCTAGTGAGTTTGGCGTTTCCTGCAGCTGAGGAAGACATGCAGAAATGGATGGCAGATTTGCGTTCATTGATGGTGTCAGAAATTCCAAGTTCCAGGAGAACCTGAGAATGTCTAAGTTCAGAAAAAGTAGCGAAGCCTTTGTCCGAGCATTGGAACTGGAAGCTATCTTTGGTGCCTCACGACCCAGAATACGAGCAGTGTCCATTGAAGACCCAATGGATAAACAATCGTCGAAAGAGGATGGTAGCTTCGAGAATGTTATGAGAAATTTTATGGAGGAAATGAAGAAACTAGTACTAGAAGTAAGACAAATGGGAAACGACTCCAAACAAACACCGAGAAACCGAGTAAAATGTTACCGGTGCCATAAGCTTGAACATATGCAATGGGATTGTTGACTAAGGATGTCTTCTCCATCTAGGGATCGTTTCCAACGCTTTTAGAGGTTTAGAGACGCCAACCCTAAACATCGACCTGGAAACCTCATAAAAATGCTGACGCTCTGTCTAGACGACTATGCAAAGAAAACTGCAAGCTTTGTCAAAGAATCGATATGCCTGCGAAAGACACTGCTCCAGCTATGAGAAGAATGGGTCTTATCGTTGATGATAAATGGACTACCAAAAAAATGAGAGAAGATTAAGAGGCAGATCAGGACATCGGGCAAATTCTACATCTTAAAGAAAATGATGAATGTAGGCCAGAATGGAGAGAAGTGTCGAACAATAGTTTGATTTACAAAGCGTTGTGGGCTCAGTGGAACTTCCTGGCCGTAGAAAGTGGTTTACTCAAAAGAGTTTGGAAAAGTGCCGATGGGAAAACTACGAAGATACTACTAGTTATTCTAAAAGATCGAGTAGAAGATGTATTAAAACAGATACATGACGGAACTTCAGGGGCATATTTTGGAGTTAACAAGACTTTGGACAAAATTCGAGAACGTTTTTACTGGGTCCACTATCATGAAGACGTTTAAAATTGGTGCCGAGAATGCGACATCTGTGCTACCAGTAAAGGCCCTAAATTAAGATCTCGAGGGAGCATGAAACAGTACAACGTCGGTCTCCCATTTGAAAGAATAGCGATAGATGTTGCCGGACCGTTCCCTGAGTGGTAACAAATATATCTTGGTTATCATGGATTACTTCAATAAATGGCCAGAAGTTTTCGCTATTCCCAATCAAGAAGCCATGACTATTGCTCAGGTGCTAGTGGACGAAGTTTTCAGTCGTCATGGTATGCTACTGGAGTTGCATTCAGATCTCACCTTTACATCCACAGTCTCATGGCATAATAGAACGATTTAATAAAACCATTGAGGAACACCTGACAAAAATGGTCGCAAAGAACCAGCGAGATTGGGACAAACATTTGCCTCTATTTTTATTGGCTTACAGAGCTCACGAGTCCACAGGTAGAAGTCCAGCTAGAATCGTTTTTGGAAGGGAACTCAGGTTACCTTGCGATCTGATGTTTGGAATACTTGAAGAAGAACGAGAAGAAATTCGAGATTGTGCCGACGAATTAAGGGCACTACTTCTGGGGATACATGATTTTGCTTGGAAGCATATCCAGCTGGCCAGTGACCGAATGAAGACCAGATACGACTTGAGAGCCAATTCAGCCGGATTTCAAGATGGTGATTTTGTGTGGCTGTATAATCCAACAAGAAAGAAAGGAGTGTCGCCGAAATTGTCTTCAGCATGAGAAGGATCCTACAGAATAATCAAGGGGATCAATGATTTGGTTTATCGAGTTCAGCGCAACACCAGGCGTAAGATGAAAATTCTACATCTGGACGAATTGACGAAATATCATGGGCGTGAAGTTGATCGGCAGCCTTATTCTGTAACTTGCGACCGCAGAGAATTGCGAAATAGTCGCTGTCAAACGAGAGTTTTCTATTCAAAAAAAGCAACTTGCGACCGGTTGCTGGTTGCTATGTAATTGCTGTTCGTAGAGAATAAGCCTGCGGGACGATCAACCTTAAGAGGAGGGCAGTGTGGCGCGTTCGCCATACAGTACAGAATCTAACTTGAAATCTAGAAAATACTGCTGTATTCGGGCAGAGAGTTTATCGCGTTTATTCTGGATTTTACAAGAATGGATTACAGATATATAAAGGCTGGTATTAGTTAGTAGTTTTTAGTTTAATATTGACTGTGATATGATTTAGATAGTGATTATTGAATTTTAAAGAGTTTAGTTGGTTGAGTAAATTAGTGAAGTAATAATTAGTGTCAGAGTGTATAGTAACGTGAATAAATTATTGTTGTGTTAATTGGACTTTGATTTTTGGAATAAACAGACCCAAGATTTCTGTCACGCACCCCAGAACCGTGACAATATAATATTTTATGTTTATAGGTACTGTAAGAGCCTTTATCGTTTTTATAAATGCATGTTAATACTGGTAATAGACAAAATATTTAATAAATTCCCATCAATCAATTTGGTGAATAGTTAATTATAGCATACCTTAACCTGTAAAAAGTTTTGTCAATACCCGATGGGTTTCTTAAGCTTTAGTTAAGTAGATATAAGTAATACTGCTTCACTCTGCTGCTCTCAAGTTAAATCAAATTTCCACGTTCACTCTAGAGAATAGTTTGTAATCAGAAATTATCAAACTATTTTAACAGTCAATAATAATAATAACCTTATAGGTTCAGGTGAGCAAAAATAAGGCTATCCATAACAAAGTATAGGAATAAAATTTCGTTGAGAGGATCCGAGTGGCAAGAGCATGCTTTTACATTAGAAATTTTAGATCACGTTTGGTGATTATTTTGTCTATGGACGTTTTCTAGGGCCAAGTGAAACCATGAAAAAAAAAATCCCATGAGCTTGTTTTTTATTTAATCTTTAAAATAATCACGTAGATTATATAAATTAGATGGGAATTTGAAACGTGAAATTATTCCGTGATTAAATGATTTCCAAAAGCATCAATTTGCCTAAGTTAAATTGAAAGTAAAATTTTTCATTAAATGACATTAACCTTTAACTTTCAATAAATTATTGCATATTCTATTTTAATACTATTTTCATTACTTTCTTGAAAATCGGCGCCAAACGACCTGAAAAAATATAATTTAATTAGTGAAGATTTCACGGTCATTTACCTGGGCCGTAAAGTGCAATGCGGATTGCATTACTTTCTTGTGTTTCAGATAATCGGTGTATAATTAGTTTAATGAAAATTATAACCTTGTACATATTCCGCTCAGTTAAGAAACCCTACAAACTATAATACAACAATAGGTTCAAATTATGGTTTTTGAGTAGGTATCAAAAAAGATCCTTTCTATGCTGGCACTTTGATGATATAGCGTTCATCCTGATTTATAAAGTCACAATTTTTCAGCAAATTGAAATCCTACCAAATTGAGGTTAGGATCATGCTCTGGTAAAGTACTGCATCCTTTAGTCCGGAAAATAGGGATTTCCATCATCGTTTGGTGACCCAAGCACAAGTCAGCTAAAGTTCGCTAGTTCGCTCATTAAAAAAAAAAAACATGGATTATGGACTGCTGTTCGTCGTTCGATATGCCATCAAGAAGCAAAGTCGTCGCAAAATTTTCTGGTTTTTATATTGAAAAAGTCTCTTCAATCATTTTACCAAACGTCTCATGCATGCTATCTGACTGTGCGTGAAATGCTGTTGATCTAGTCGCGCTGATACTCAGTAGCTCACGGCAGTTCCACAGAAATGCCAAACCTGCTAAATATGTTGTCCTCTAGAACCTCTTGGCGGAGGAAGGCAGTTACCTACTTCTAGCCATTTACTGAAATATTCCAAGTGGAACTGAGATGTTTTTGGAGTGTTTGTTTGTTTCAGAAAAGGGTCCTGCTACATAAATCGCAGTTCGTTTGGATGTTCGACCTACATTTTACTGCTCAGATCTATATTCAGAGCTTGTACTGTGCTGCAAATTTAGTCTCCGGCTCTAGGATTTTACTGCTTTATACTCATTTGGGTAGTGTCTCTGCCTTCCTATAAAGTAAAGTTGTCCTGGATCTGTTTTAAACTCTGGAGTTGTACTACTGTAACTCCTCTAAATATCTTGCAAATGTTCCTTCTGGTAGGTTCGTACCTACTTTTATTTCTATTTGAAATTGCTGCGAAACATGGATCACCTACAGAAGACACATAAAAAGCCTAGCAAAATACCACCAGAGATGCCTTAAGGATCCTACGGATTAAATGGCAAGACCGACGAACGAAAAGGGCTTCTATCCTCATCATTAAACACCAACTTCGCTGAAAAGGTCACCTCGCCCACTTTCCCGAAACATTTCTTCCGCGACAGATTCTCCACAGTCAACTGAAAGAGAGAAATCAAAATCAAGGAGGTGGACAAAAACGCTACAAAGATGTTCTAAAGGAAAATATGACTAAATCCCGCATCGATACCAGCCACTGGGAGACGACGGCATCATGGCGTCGAGTAGTCCATGACGGACCACATACTTTTGGAGAACAGTGACACAGACACGAGACCGGAAAGATAGACCTCAGGAACGAGCGAGAGAATAGAGACACAATACTGCCAGAGGCTGGGTATGCGAAGACTGTGGAAGAGTGTGCGGCTCCAGAATTGGTTCATTTAGCCATCAGAAAACGCACAATCGACGACAAAAAGAATGGGATAGAAGATAATCATACTCGGTATCGAGTGATTGCCGAATTCTCCGTTCTAATCAGGAATTCCTTGAGCGCGGAAAGTACTCGACTATAATTGAGATAAGTTAGCTCCCAATTCCGATGCCGTTGTCTTTATTTTATCTAGTGAACAGTTTGCATGTTGTAGATGGTACCGTATTGGACTAGAACAGAACGCTGATCATAAATTTCTCACTTGCATTCGGAATTAGCGTTTCAGTTGTGAACGGTCTTTAGCATAGATTCCCTCTGATGGTAGCTGCTTTGAGTACCAGATAAATGAATACATGAAGAACATAGGTTTTGTTTTTCTACTTAATGATGTTACGTCATCGGGTTCGTAGACTGAGGGTACTGTGGCGAGCTGCTTATATGTACAGACCGGACCAACCTACTAGACACAGGAAGTAATAAGATGAATTAGCTTGTACGCGGTCTCAGCGAATCGAGGCTATGCTGCCGAAGGCGAGTATGGCCGAGCTGCAGAAGATGCACGAATTTCAATAACATGCAGCTTGACATGCAATGACATGGGTGATATGGGTATCAGTCAACTAGTCTCATTGAAGCCTATGTGTCTAGTAGCATTTTCTTATTTGTTAGACCGTTTCAAGCCCTCTCCAATTGTCTCGATAATCCTCTGCTTCTATTTCCCTTCCCATTTATTCTCATTTGGTTTCCATTGCCCGAAGCGATCAATCGAATCCAGTCACATGTCAGAACTTATTAGTAGCGAAAAACCCGAGTGACCTTGTGGGTCAGCAAGCTGTATCGGTTGACAAGGAGACAAATTCGCTGCCCTGGAAGCCGATAGGGAGAGATTCCAGGCTCAAATTGCAACAATGCACGTCCAAATCTAAGACCTCATCGAGAATTAAGTCTAACTAGGCCTTAAGATTGAATCCCTTCAGGAGGAAAACAACATCCTTAAGGCAGAAGCCCAATTCCAAAAAGTCCAACTGTCAAAAAGAAGCAGTTCCCAATGAAAGTGGACCACCAGTCCGCCCCCATTCGCACTATCCAAATACATTATAGAATAAATCGGCGGTACTTTCAATATCCTACAGTCTGGCAAAAGCGTCAGAATTTCCCAAAAACTCCAACTCTCGAAAAGAAGCAGTCGCCAATGGAATTGCAGGACCACCAGTCCGCTCCATCTCCACTATGCAAATTAAATATAGAATAATTCAGCGATACATTCAATATCTCCATGTCTTTGTTCCGGTTCTTCCTCTTCACCTCCCAATCGCGTGTTTTCTTGTTCTTGTAGAATGCTTGGAGTCGCTTCTGTTCTTGGTAGATAATATAACACAAATGTGAAATTCTCAAAAACTAAATTAACGAGTTCAAGCGATTTAAAAGAATGTGTGTGTTTTTTTTTAGCACCCACATAATCAACAAAACCATACATTTTCCCAAGTATATGTGACTACATCTCTATATAAAATAAATCTGTAGCAGCAGTAGCTAATAATAAATTGTGGAAATATGAAGAAAAAAAATTCCTTGCATATGTATGTAACCAGTTATTATTCACCCCCTAAGAAAAAAAAATATCATCCAAAAACAACAGGATGTTGACATAATCCATCACATCTTACATGAGACAAATTATTCCGGTATAAAGCCTAATCACCCAAGTGGGGACCACCTTACTACGAAAGTGTGCCACCAGTAGCCGATAACCAAAACCCAAAGAACCAAGTCGCTGGGTATTCGCGTCAAGCCGGTTGTTGAGAGAACGTCTTCAGTCATGTCCTGATTCGGTGTGCCCGTTTGGACATGTGGTGGCCGCGTCTCGTAAATGTGACTAATGAAAGTGTGACGTATCGATGATTATTTTTTCTGGTTTATAACCTCAACAATACCAAAGTATAATGTTTCGCTTAGGATATCATTTAGTTTTTATCGTGTTTTACTTTTGTTGTGTTCACGGAAGTGAAAATTTCACCATCGAAGAATTGCCGGTAGATACTTTGGTGAACTTGACAGGCAATAACGAATTATGGACAATACTCTTGAAAGACTGTCAAAAACCTACCTTAAATTGTGTACAAAACAATATATTTAAATATCTTAAAACAACCTTAGATGAAACCGACGACATGCAATTTACCAGCTTCCTAAAATTCACAAAAAACACTATCGATTATAATAAATATGAAAGATCTTTTGATATTGATTCAAATGAAACTACGGAGAATTATGAGGATGAGTTTCCCATCGAATCAATGTCAAGGTCGCTTCATGACAACACTGCAAAATTTTTCATGACGCATGACCTAGAACTGTCATTACCGGATGGTTTATTTCCTAACAGTTACTTGAGGATTTCTCCAAAAGGCTTAGAGAACCATGGAGCCTTGGTAAACCTAGAAATTGTGTCAAAAGATCTTGAGGAAGCAAGAGGGATGGAAGAAGGAAATAGAACTTTTAAAAAAATTCGTAAGTACCTAGGATCTATTCTTATAAAAGTAGTCCTATGTTTGACAGAAATAGAAAATACTTATTATCAATTTTTAATGAATTTTGAAATCATGTAAAGCAGGTGTCAAATTTGTTCCTAGTTCGCAAGTATTCACAAATAACGCTGCAATCTTGATTTGAATTGGAATTCCGGTTTGTATAGTCGGCGTTACGAATATGAATGAATGAAAGTAGCACTCCTAAATAAATTAACTTTGTAATTGATGGTCACGCATATCAATTGGTTTGTTTATATGATATGAGTCCAATAGAAATTGGCTGAAATGTTCTCGTACGTGTTGGTATGTAGAATTTATCTATTGAATATAGGATAAATTTCGCTCTCCATTACTAAATTTATATCACTTGGGAGTGTAGCGTTGCAACTGATAGATTTGGCTAATTGACTGCATTCAATTAGCCAAATCTAGAAACATGATTAGCTTAACTGATTAAACATACTTATAGTGACTCATTATACAAATATGGTATGAGGTATATTTAAAGATATGTAAAACATAGTGATTTTTTTCAGGTAAATTCATCAACGAAAAGCTAATCTACGCCCTCCTAGCAATACTCCTAGTCGTAAAGTTGCTAGCAGTTAAATTTTTGTTCCTACTTCCACTACTAGTTGGAGCTGCTACGGCCAAGAAACTCCTTTTGAAGATTCTTCTGTTTGTCTTCCCATTTTTACACCACATATTTAAATTCTGCGCCTATTATCCCATACAAGCCAAGTATCATCATCATAAGCATTTGATTTCACATGTTCATCAGGTAAGCACGAAATTTTCAATCTTCTAGAAAGAAATTGACATTTTTTTTGATCAGGTTGCTCCCCACAAGTATCATCACGGCCACAATGAAGGTGTAGAAGTTGATCCTCATTCCTATGGTCCTCCCCCAATAGAACATCATGGGTCCGATGTGCATTTCTCGGAATATGACGATGATATAAGTGTAGTTCCTGATGACGGTTCAGGATTTTCTCATGGGTAAGTAAGAAATGTAGAAGTTTATTGCAAAGAATCGCGTTTATAATAAATACTTTGATATGAACTGTTCCAAAAAATTGACCCGAAAAATTAAAACAAGACATTTGCCAAATGAATTAACTTTCTATTCAAAAGTATTAACGGTTATAATGTTGACAGATATTAAATTTTTATGTGAATTATAATAATTTATGCATTTAGACAATACGTTGAAGGTATTAGTTCTTACTGTTATACGACAACTGATGGAAATTTAGAAAACTAAAATAAATTGGGTGTTTTTAACCAGGTCAGCGTGTCATATTCAAATATTTCGGAACTTTGCACCTTAAGATTTTTTTTTTTTTTTTTTTTTCATTCATGACCGACTATAGGTATCTACGTAATTCTAATTTGAATATATGACAGTGAGAATCATTCTACTTGATGCTGAGGATGAAGCAAAATGTTCGGGTTAGTTTGGGTTAGTTAGCCATTTTAGTTCCCGATTTTTACTGTTTGTTTTTTTTTTCAAAACATCATATTTTCAAGATTTTGGGTCGAAAGGATATCGCCTTACGAACAGGTATATGTCGCCTCACGAACCGGTATATATGTCGTAGCCACATTGTAAATTTCGCCATTTTATAAAACACCTAGTCACTTTATAGAACACGGCCACATTGTAAAATAATTGTTTATTTTGCATTATTTCGTGATATGGCTAGTGCTTTCAGCCACTTTTTAAACTGGCCGATCAAGTACGAGCCATATTCTCAAACAGAAATATATAACTGTTGTTTTGCATTTCGACGGAATCTGCAAAGAAAAAAAAAGTTAAAAGCAATACTCGATAAATGAAAATTTGATCCCAGGTAGGAATGGCCCTGCTTACCACAAATTTATGACTTACCTGTATAAATGATTAGGTACAGAACAAAGATTTTTCCACAGGTAAAAAGGAATACAAAGATAACTAAACAAACATTCACTAATAATACTTCTTAATAAGTTTAAATAATGCAACCGTGAAAGAAGTTTATTGGCGGCAAACAAATAACCTCACTTTAATGTTATATTGTGGCTGATAGTGACTTTCCGAAATGCAAAACAACAAAAAATTATTTCTGTTTGAGGATATGTCTTGTACTTGAACGGCCATTTTATGAAATGGCCAAAGTATCAGCCATATTACAAAATAATTTAAAATAGCTGATTATTTTACAATGTGGCCGCGTTTTATAAAGTGGCGGAATTTACAATATGGCTACGACATATATACCCTACACGAAAACAAAAAGAACAGTTTTCAAGTACGAAGTTTCAAAGAGATAATATTCGGCTTGAATTCTTTGAAAGTTTTCTTTTATGTTATAGGCCATATACAGGGAGTTTGGCGGAATACGAAAGCAATGACAAAAGAAAGGGGCACTTAAGACCACAAGTTTATTAATAAAATATCTTCGAAATGGGCTTATCTATACGCCCACCGAGTTTGGCTAACCCTCCGCCAAACACCCTGTATATAAGCAGGCCGTATACAAAAGAACTAGTACATAGACTCTAGATATTAGTCCATAATACGTGTAAGAAGCTTGTCCTCCAACAAACGAGTCAACTTGCAAAAGGCTGGTCGATTTATATACGGCCTATTTGCAACTGGGCCATATATGACTGTGACACTTAAACAAAAACAGAATATGTTTTTTTTTTTAAATTGATTTGTACAAGATAAGCTATTATAACATTTAGGCTCGGCTTATTCATCTTCAGGTAAATTTGCTAGTAGCTATCTGCAAGATAAATTTACCGATTCAGGCCCGGTTTATTCATCTTCAGATAAACTTCGTGGTAACTATCTGCAAGATAAATTTACCGTTCTATAATTCTATTGGTCGGCGAATAACTCGCCGACCAATGAGATTGCGAATTGCGTTTGTATCCGACAGATTGCATACCTGACAGATTATCAGAAGGCGAATAAACCGGCCCTTATCATCCTATTGGCTGGCGGATAACTGGTCGACCAATGGTATTAGAGATTGTGTTTTTATCCGCCAGATTGCATAGGTACCTGACAGTTTATCAGAAGCTGAATAAACTGACCCTTGCAACACATTTGTTCGATTGACATTTAGTCTTACAATCACATTTCGTAAAACCTTGCGCATGTCCAGTAGATTGAAGAGTAGCCACATATAAGAGGAACTTCCTTGTCTTTGGAGACTCCTTCAATTGTCAAAATATTAGAAGGACATGTACTAAATTCTGATCAACTATAGCATTTAGAAATTAGCCCTTGTTTCGTACCAAAGCGGTAAAAGCCATCTTCCTTCGCTTCTAGCACTACCTACTGTTAAAGCTGACCGAGAATCTCCCCTGCCACGATCGACGTGTGAAACGGGAATTCTTACAGCTGATCCAATCGTTGGTTTTGGATGAGTGCTATCGGAAATCACTTTCATTCATTTTCATTATCTGAAGCTTCTTAATTTGTGGGATTGGAAATTGGAACAGATACTACATATTGTATATGAGATTTCTTGGCAATCATCATTTTCTGGCGGTACCAATTATTATTACAACTAGCTCTTCTAAATCTTCTTCAGTTGTAACGCTGCTGCTGCGGTTCAATTTCTCGGTTTGTGCTCTGTCAGTAAGAATAAATTTAATCACTATTTCATATCTTATTTAGTTGTGACACTATCCATGGCTTCTAATGAAATATTCAATACAATTTTTGGATTGCCCTCAAAGATGGCTTCATGGAGGCCTTTTTATTCCAGAATGCAGAGAAGTATTCTTTTAAAATTGTATGAATCTTAGACCTGCAGCACAATGCTCTTTTTTGCAACATCCAGGTAGTTAGCATGCTTTCTACATGTTGGTTGGCGCGTTCGATGCTGCCCTGACTCGGGCTATGGCCTGGTTTTCCTTAAACCAGTTTTAATCCGGTTCACAGTTTTTAATCCTTCAATAGCCATATTGCACCAACATTGCTTTTAATATGGTAAAAATTTTCATGTTTAGTTTCAAGTGGGCATAGAATAACAAATTTTGTCAAGTGATCCTGATATACAAGGCTATTTGTTTTTACCATCGGCATGACATTGATAATCTATCAAATCAACTTGACAGCGTGAATTTATATCTTTGGAAATCATCGGTTTTGATACGATTCCCTTCTTCATATGACATGGCACACACAGGTTAAATAACTATAAAACTTCAGTACGTACTATATTCTATTATTTTTTTACTCGTTCTTTTCATCATGCGATCTCATCCTCTATTCGAGCATGTGCTCGGTGAAAACATTGACATTTTCTAGAATGCCCAGTCACACACTGGGGAAACGTTTAATAATTGTAAAAACTTATTACAGAAATGGAGGAAACTTTACAGTCACAATGCGCAGATTACATGAATACTTCGGCGTACATAATCGTCCGTCACTGCCCAGTGTTGAAAATTTGATCAACAAATTTGAGTGGAGATTTGCACTGACAGACGAGACAAGTGTTAGGTAGGCCTCGTCGTCTTAGAAGGTCTGCCAAGAAGTAAGAAAATCTCCGCAATGAGAGACAGTGTTACCGAACATCCAAGCACTTCCATCCGGCATCGCGGTCAGGAATTAAACATCTGTCGCAAATACGCTACAACGAATTTTGAAAAAGGATTTGCCTCTTCGTGTCTACAAAATACAGTTGACACAAAAGCTAAAGCCAAGTGCGCCTCATCGCGAATGATTATTTTGTTCTGGAATGCATCGTCACCTTCGTGTTGTTCCAATATCCAGTTGGAAAATTTTCTGCGCTGTCTATGTTCGGCTGGCTTCAGCTTCTGTTTCGACTGTATTTTGTAGGCATGAATATGCAAATCCTTTTCCAAAATTCGTTGTAGCGTACTGCGTACTGATGTTTAAATCCTCGCCGTGATGCCGGATGGAAGTGCTTGGATGTTCGGTAAAGGCCAGGACGCATCTATCATGCATTCTTCCGATCCGACTCCGATCATCATATTCTTGGAATAGGGAAGCAGCGTTCCTAAGAGAGCGAGTGTTCCGTCTTCGTTACTCATATTACCAGTTGCATATAATTGAGAAAGACGGAACACTTGTTCTCCTGGGAACGCTGCTCCCTGTTCCAAGAATAAGGGCCCTGATTGTATGATCGGAGTCGGATCGGAAGAATGCATGTTAGATGCGTCCCGGCCTTACACTGGCTCTCACGGCGGAGATGTTCTCGGCAGACCTTTCAAGAAGGAGAAGCCTAAACCTTATGGTGGGCCGTGACGGACGATTATGTACGCCAAATGTTCACGTAATCTGCGCATTGTCACTGTACAGTTTTCTCAATTTCTGCTATGAGTTTATTAATAATAAACCTTCCTCAAGAGTGACGCGGCATTTTAGTAAATGACAATGTTTTCATCGAACGCATGGCCAATATGGCCGAATTGCTTGACAGACAGAAATGGCGCGCGATTTAAAATTCAAGTTCTTGTTGAGACACCCTTTTTAATACATCAACTGATTGATTGTTGAGAGGCACAATAAGTTTTTCCAAACCCTGAATAGATAATGCATCATAGTGTTTAGGGAGTAAATGGATTCTTGGACTTTTTCTTTCAGCAACCTTAGCACTTTCACTTCTCGAATAAGAGCACAGTACTTATCTCTCGTGGAGCCGCGAGTTGTCGACAAAGTCTTTCCTTCGCTCATAAAACCATTTTTTTTTTTTCATTAAAGGTTATATTACTATTACTACTAGTGACTGACGTGATAGTCCAGGAGGCAGTGAAATTTTTCAGCACTTACTTTCCCAGTTGGTCTATTAAATAGTTTTGTCTCCTGGTGATAAAAAGCGAGTATTTTTGAGTCTGGCTAAAATTTTCGGATGGGTTCACAAGATCAATGAAAAATACAAGTAGGCTTATTTTCCCAGACATAAATATTTCACATTTACTACAATAGAACATAAAGTATATGAAAATAGCAATTTGGCTTATCTCAGATAGTG